AAACAATAAATTACATTATAGTTGTTAACTAAAATCTTCTAATTATCAGCAATACAAATCTCTCATGTTAAGTGAAAACTGTGATAATTTCAAGTAAAATATAGCTTATACTGGAATAGGAAAGTGTTAATTTCATGTCATAGCGCCCATTTTTAAAAATGTCTGTGATGGCAACCATATTGGCATATATAAAATGGGTCCCATGCCCAAAATGTTTCTTTTGTCTTAATTAACAGATGTGCCAATTTTTTACTTCTGTATGCCGGCGACCAGGCACTATTTTCTTCTTCGCCAGTTTCCTTACAGTTAATGTTGAACGATGTGGTTAATTATTGTAATATCTGGGGATTAAAGATTAATACTTCTAAAACAAAAGCTATGATTTTTGAACGTAGTAGACATACGACATTTGATCACTCTAATTGAAATAGCTGCCTTTTTTAAATATCTAGAAATAACTTTGTTTGAAAATGGTAACTGGTTTCGCACCCAAAAAAATATACGCCGAATTCTCAATGTCCCAAAAGCTTTCGTTATTTGATACTCTTGTCGGTTCCGTTCTTGTCTTTGGTTCACAAATATGGGACAGTCATAAAGCACCAGATATCGAAGCTGTACATACAAAATTTTTAAAAAGGGTTCTTTGTGTCAAAAAGTTAACCAATTTATGTGCACTATATATGGTGAAACTGGACGATTACCGATGGAATGTAATAGAAAAATAAATATGCTTAAGTATTGGTTACACATATTAAAACAAGATCAAAATTCGCTTATTAAACAAACAATTCTCATGCTGAAAAATCATACAGATAATAGAAATAATTTCTCTCAAAAGTGGGCAACTCAAATCAAAATGATATTAGATAGCCACGTTTCAGTTATATTTGGAATTGCCAGTTTGATATAGATATTCCGTTTGAAGAGATAAAGTTAAGAGTTATTGATACTTACAAACAAAATTGGTACTGTGAAATAAGGCCCCACGATTACACGTTTAAACGGATTCGTTTCGATTTTCATTCGTAAACGTTTGCGATATTTTTTACCGTTTAATCGAAATGACCATATTGTCTTACAAATATCTTGATCATTGCCTGTAATCATGGATTTTATCAATTCTAATTGGTTTAAACGGAAAATGTGTGTTTACAACCTTCCACACAGCATTGCTGTGCAATAATCGCTCGTGACATAATACATTTTTTGTAAATTTTATTTTCCTTTGATCTTTCAAAATAGAGAAAAGGAGATTCAATTCAGAAAATGTGTGCCGACACAATCGTGATGAGCCCTGAACATTATTTATTTGTTTGTTTTGTAATAGAAAGTTAGTCATCATCTGGCGTTTCGAATACATGATGTAGTATTGTACATAGATCGAAGTACCACCGTTTAAACGGTATCGTTTCGGTTCTTAACAATCGTGTAAACGTTTACGAAAAATTGTAAACGTGGGAGCCTTAAAATAAATAATTCGAGTCGCTTACATTTTTATTCAATATTTAAACACGATTTTTTGTTGGAGAAATATTTTTCAGATGTTTGTGAAAAAAAATTAGAATAGCTTTAACTAAATACAGAATATCAGCACATAATTTACGCATTGAAACTGGAGGATATGACGACACACCCCGGCAAAGTCGACTATGTACCTTTTGCAATTCTAATCAAATTGAGGACGAATATCATTTCTTGTTGGTCTGCCCTTACTATAAAGATATAAGAATAAAATAATTGCCAAGTTATTATTGCCATTGGCCAACAATCACAAAGTTTGAAAGTATCTTAAATTATCATCTAATTCTTCCAACCATACAGGGTAGCGCCCACTGCAGTGACGTTTCATCACCACTATATATGCTATATTGTATTCTTACATTTTTCTAGGAAGTTGAATTCATAGTGATTATCCGACCATGACCGACGCATTACCGCCGCGAGTGAAAAATAGTGCGAAAACTTTGATTTATTGCGAATAGAAGAGGAGATAAGAAATTTATTTTTTGAAAATCATGTGCAATTGAGCTTGAATTACGGTATTTGAAATGTAGCAGATATAATTTGAAAGGTCGAGTAATTCTAGGAATGGAATAGTAATTGGTTCTATGGAGACGGCTCGAAATATTCAACATACTCATCCGCGCCTTATCATCACATGATATTCCAGAATTTTTTGAAAAAAAAAAGACAATTTTTATCGAATAAATCTTGTAGTTGATAATTGCAAAGTGAATATTGAAATAGAAATAGCCAGGGATGTAGATAATCTACATGTATGTCTCTGTTACATGAATGCGACAACTTCCGGTTTACTTTATGACCTACTTGACAAGCATATCAGCCTGTTTAGCCCATAAGGTAAGTTTTAAAGCAAAATATGTTATAAATTTGATGAATAATAATAGTAAGTTTATTTATTGATGTCAGTTCGTTCCCGAGGACTAAAACTTTCGTTAATAATTTCGAAGTAATTTGCGAGATCTCGAGTCTTTTGTCCTCAAGACATTTCGACCCTACTGTAGCCTAGTCTCAATTTTTAGACTGCATAACCGACAGATTTTACAAATTGATTTTACACAGATGTCTGCCTTTATAGGGAAAACCGGCATATACGCCTACAATTTGTTGGTCTTGTCACAGCCGTAACGTCTCTACCAAATGGGGCACATTCTTTAATATTTCAGAATAATTTTATTTTATCTTTCATGGTTATATATTAAGTTATAAACTTATTCAATGAATAAAGGGATTATATGAAAGATTAGGGAAAAAAGCTTTATCCCTCAATATGAGCCATTTAGCTGTTAAGTTTAGCCCCTGCAAATACTGCAGGTCTTGTGTAATTGGGTAGAAGCACTGTCCTATTATTTCTGACTAAACTCTTATTGATTGCTAATTGATTCTTCATACCCACAAATGACAAACGAGCATTATTGTCATTTTTAATTTAACCCTCACCACCTAGTGATTTCCCCTTTTTTAAAGGCTGTTTAACCAGTAGCCCAATATAGGTATATTTTCCCCTAAAACCCCTTTGCACATTCTTCACCAGAAGGATGGCATAAAATCAGCTAGAAGACAGAAAGCTGTCCATATAGATAAAGCTCCCACGTTTACAATTTTTTGTAAATGTTTACACGATTGCTAAGAACTGAAACGATACCGAAACGGTGGTACTTCTTTGTACTATACTACACCATGTATTTAAGTCCCCAAATTCAAGTCTCTAGACCTGAATATCTTGCGCGTGACACTTCGATTGTCATGATGACCAACATATTAATGCTAAGTTCCAACTGATTGTTACCCTGCCTGATCTTGACCGTTCGGTCTATTTACCCAAAGATACACCAAGACACCCTTATGAGTAACATATTTTTGATGCCTTAATTATTATTAAACGCATAAAATTGATTTTTTGTTACTTAATGTTTCAGTAAAGTTGATTTAAGAAAAAATATTGTTTTTTATAAAGAGCATATCAATAAATATTTTACTGATACATAATTGACCATATTTGATGTACATGTATTGATGAGGAAACAGGACGTTTCGGCCCCAAACCAAATCGGCCCCTGTCAAAAAATCGGCCCCTGGACGTTTCGGCCCTTTTCCGCGAGACGTTTCGGCCCCACTTTAGTATATTGCTTGATATGTTAAGAAAAACGGTTTGCAATCATCTCATGATAATATTTTTATTTATTATTGTTATTAGATAATGATAAATGCTAGATGTAATAAAACTGATTGAAAAAACTTAAAATGCTATGTACCTGCTATAGATAAGTTATAACATTCGAAAATAAAGTGTTTGTGCGTATAATTGTTGGAATAATTGCATTATATATAAAATTAAATTAGAGAAATTATTTGCTTGATATTAATACTTACAATCGGATTTTAAGTGTAAATATTATGAAATGTCCGATATAGGTATGCGATACAGGTAGGTCAGTTTTTAATATATTAATTTAGAAAGGATTTCCCAAAAATTAATATATTGCACCGATAGTTCATTTGTTATTGTTTTCGCTTCATCAAACTCGTCGCTGTTAAATAGTTGTTGATGATAATTTAATGTCTGTCTCGTGTATTGTTTTGTGCCTTGCTTCTTAATCTTTCAAATTAAATATTATCTATATATGTTGTAAATAATTGTTTGTTAATTTGTGTATTATATTTTTTCAAATAAAGTTAATGTTCTGTTCTGTTCTGTTTGTATTGATTACTTTTGGAACCCTACTACTATTATAATCTAGTTTTTATACAAAATGATTAAATATATATATTAATTGATTCATTTATTTATTGAGATGCTATTAATTTATCGGTTTAAAATACAGTACTTATTCTGGGGCCGATTTGGTAAAGGGCCGAAACGTCTGGGGCCGAAACGTCTTGGGTAGTTTGGGGCCGATACGTCTTGGGGCCGAAACGTCTCGAAATCATTGATGACATGTAAATAATCAGTCGTCGTATATAATAAAACTTACGCAAAATATAAGTTTCTTGGGGTGTCTTTGGGTAGTCCTGGGACTGAAAATGTGTATCTTTCTGTCCCAGGGTTGTCTTGGGGATCTTGGGGGTGCCTTGGGCCGATGGGGGCTAATCCAAACAGGTGCTTGGTAATATACATGTACATATTACAGCAAAATAGATTTAATTCTATTTTAAGGACCCTGGAAACGGTATAAACTGAGTTTTCCCCCCTTTATCCTTTTATAAACATACTGTCGATGAGTTGAATTGCTTCAAAGTCTCTTAATATCCTGATTAAGTTCATTTTGACTTACATCACTCGCGAGACGCGTTTGACGTTGCTAGACAGATGTATACCGTATACCGTATACGAGATATTGTCGCTCTTTCGCTTTAACGAGACTTTACTGAGTACGTCGAATCTGAATGGCTGAAGATTGCTGAAATTTCACTGGCTAAACACTTTGATAGCTGACCAACCAATTTCTCAAATTTGATTAGGTTTGTTTATGTGTTCACATGATCAACAAATACACGTGTTTTATGAAAAATACCATTTAAACCCGATTACTTGGGACATTTTTTTAAATTTTGATGAAAATTCTTGGAAGAAATGGACAACAAAGAAATTATGTTCCGCCTTGGCAAATTTTATAACTTCCTCGATTTTAATTTCCGGTGTTGGGGAAAACACCGCCGTAGTATGTTATAACTTTAAGTAAGAAATTGTTTTATTCGTTGTGATACTACATCAAAATAATATGATAATTGGCCTAAAAAGCAAGGTAGAGGCCTGAAATAAAATATTGCTTGTTTCCACTCCCGCTGCCTACCCATAGCCTGATAGGTGTTCGGCGGGTTGATTGGTCACTACACCCCCCCCTCACCAAATCTACAACCCTACTACCTCTCAAAACTATGTATATTTTTCATTTGAAACATGTTTTCAGGGTTTTCATTAGGAGGCGGCTGGCGGCTGATTTGACCGCCTAAAATGAAATTCAGGCTGCCTCAAATTTGCAAAAAAAAATCAAAATAAAAAAAATTTATCACCGGCCATGAAAGACTGTCAACTACGCTATTTTTTTTTTTTTTATTCAACTTGTTCAATAAATTTAGTATCAAACCTATGTACACTCATTCAGTATCCTCTGTCTATGGCATTCGCGTATAATTCCCTAATACTGTACAGAGTTCGGTTCGACGATAAGGGGATTCTTGGATTGCAAAATTTCAAGAAGTCGAGAGAAATACCTGGGGATTCCGTTGGGATCCCTATAAAATTGCTGTGCAATTTGAAAAAATATTCTTAACCTTTTACCCCATGAGCATATTGCGAAAAATGGCCGTTTTCATTGAAAAGCCTCCTGTAACAAGTTCAAACTGCTATGAAACTATGAAAAATGCTTCAATACTGATGAAACTTGGCACAAATGTTGACTACACCATAGCCTCTGTAACAGCATGCTCAATCGTAAATTTCCTGTTACCATGGCAACGGGGGGACGTCTCAAAATTGCCAAAAATCACTATTTTGCATTGTTTTTTTCCATTAAAACTGATTTCAAAGTGCTGCAACTTCTCAATAAATTGAGATAGAGTAAAAGGCTTTTCAGCGTCGGTTACTAGTTACCCTAAGATCGACCTGAGGCCATTTTTAGCCTGTCACATGTCCAAAATTTTCTTGGCGATTAGGGGGACTCCGCCCCCTTCAAACCCCCCAAACAGAAGGGGGCACATCCCCCCCTGATGTAACATTTGGATGGGTCACGGTGCCGAAAAAGTGGTCACTTTTTTTAACAACATTTCTCAAACGAAAACCAGTGTTTGGGGCTTAAATAGGGCATTTGTTCACCGTTTGAGGCCTCAAAAGGGGGGGGGCAAAAAGCCGTCGAAACACGCTTATATAAGGGGAAAGGTTAATTGATAGCATAAAATCATAAATATTCAAAAAAAGTCATGCCAGTAAAGCAAGGTTCAAGAAAGAAAAGAAAAATAGCGCCAATAAAATCTACTCCATTGAATCCTGTACGCTATTCTTTCTTTGTACAGTCAATCCATCAACTCATTTGTGATATAATATATATTGTTTAAAAAATGTTTTGGCTAAAGAAACAATCTAGAATAAGTTTATGTCATACATTAACTTCATAATATTAAAGGGACTCCACTGAGGTTTTTTGACACGATGGGACTGAAAATATTTTTTCAAGATAAATGTTCCATTTGATGTAGGCTTAGACCACTAATCTTTGTGCAAAATTTCAGATCATTCACTCCAGGATAATTATTCAAATTGTAAAAAATGACCCAAAGTGAAAAGCATTTAAACGCTTTTCACTCTAATCAGGCTAAGAAAAGCATAACAATACGATTTTCAATTTATTTCAAAGTATATTTCTTTAATATCTTTGCATATATTTCTGTTTAAAGTGTCCCAGCTCATTTATGTAAGAAATTCAAATGTTATGTTTTTAGGCTTTTAAACCTCAGGTTTAAGGTTTGAAAATAGAAAGAAAGGTAAATTATCGCATAATTATTTCACAAGTGGTGTACTTCAGACACGAGCTGATCGGAATTGTTGGCCGTTACCACGAAACAGGTTTTCAGAAGTTAAGTTTGTTTAAATTTTCATGCATTATCCAGTGTTTATTTTGTTTTTTTGGTGCAGAAATTCAGCAACAGTAATTTTTAAAAAAAATTCACAATTATTCTGGAAAGTTCTGTTGTTAATTTAAATTTATTTTTCTTTCTCCCTAGAGCAAAGTTAAAAGGTATGAATAATTAACAGAATAAAAATAATTCATAAAAACTCCTTCTAGGTGAAAAATGTACCAAAGTAACGTATATTTCATCTGACAGTTCTTTGAGCCAATCAGTGTTCTAAACTGCATGATCACTGCATGCGATGAGTGCCTTTGATGTGACAGATGTCAAAACTTAAAATAAAATTCAATACACACAGGTTGGAAAGGAGTCCGACAGGACAGTGTAAATTAAGTATAAAGTAAAGTTGGATATAACACATCCTGTCCTGGACTTGGAGCAACTTGTGTATTGTTTTTTTTTTGTTTTTTTTTTTGTTAGAATTAAATCATTGAAAGGTAGCAGTAATGCAAACAAATTAATTAAACTTGTTCTTGATATTTTACTTTTAGTTTGAAATTAGCAAAATACTTGTAAATCCTCTCAAAATTTACAAAAATCAATGTACTAATTCCTTTATACCATAAAAAGTGTAGGTTGGAATAGGCAAACACCTATTTTTATAAAAAACTGATCATTGCATGAAAATATTTTTTTTTTTTTCAAAAATTCATCCAAACCAGATCTAATTGGAATAGAGCCTTATCATTATCTGTAAATTTTATAAGACCTGCAGATGATAAGTGGGCTCTCTCAGTGAACCCTGGGCTACCATGGAAGACATTTTCTTTCCCTAGTTCCTACTTAATTTCTAACCATAAGCCACTGGAACGGTTTAAGCAAAATGGTTTTTTCAGTGAGCTTTATCATATTCCGTATCTGTCTGTGTAAAATACATCAATTATGTTCATAGTAACAGTTCTACTGTAATAAACTCTTTGAAGCATCTAAGCATTTTTTTCAAAACAGCTCAAAAACGGTTTTAGCTGTATGTGAAACAAGGCAATATCCTGTATGTGAAAAAAGGATATGATATCAGAGTGTTGCACTCCCTAAATGTTAATCTTAACTTTCATTTTACTATTTTGATGTGAGGAATCTTTGACATTTAGGAGATATCCCTGATGTGGAATCCCTGGCAAAAACAGCATTGAACCCTGTAATACTGGCAGGCAATGTTAACAGTCAGATTTTATTAGATAGTGTGCTTGTAAGTGATCAATCACATGTGTTTTTACAATTATAAACCTGAGAAAAAAAATGAAAAAACAAAAGATTGATTTGTTACTTTATTTTCATCTACAATCAAGTAAATCCCTAACTATAATGATATGTGTATTATGATTTTTGCATGAACAATTTGTTTTGTTTTGTAATTTCAATAGTTCTTGTTTATACATGCAATTGACATTTCCCTGAAAAAACTAAATCAAGACTCAAAAGACTATGACTAGATTTCCATAGAGATGTTTACAAATTATGGGATTGTCTCAACATTTGAGTTCAGCTTCATTTTAGACTCTAATTTAGACATAAATTTCCTATATTTTGACAGGTCCAAAATATTAAATTCTGTCCCCAGAATAGCTCAGATATCATGATTTTACATCTATTTTTTCAAAATATCGCGGGGGTGCTTGCCCCCAGACCCCCCTAAAAAAAATCGCACCTACAGTGCTCAAATTCTGTAATGACCTCCCTCACCAAATCCTACTGAAAAACCTGCTGTTTTAATATTTTGTATATGCTTCTAAATTCTAATTCAATTTCCTTCATTTCCCACAAAAAATATTAAAAAATTGAAACCATATATATTAGTAAAGGTATGAACTTGCTGCCTCATTTTTTCAGCACATCTCTTTTAATATAAAAACTCCATAACGCCAACATTTTTTCACTTCCACCAATTTTCCCAAAAACTTTTTGGTACCCCAAAAGTTTCGGGAAAATTGATTTCCTCTTCTAAGGAATAAAGCTAGGTCATTTTAACAAATTCAATTTTTAAAGGGTTTTTATTTTTTATAAAGGAGAATATGTAATCTCAATAAAGTCACCGCAAAAAGTGTAATCGATAGAGACCTGACTGCCTGGGGTTTTTGTCAAACATTTACCCGACTTAAAATGGCAGCTTTATTGAAAATTCAATGAAATATTTATACCCCCCCAAAAACGAAGTTTGGTCGGGGGTATATAGGGTCACCCCGGTGGTCGGCACTCGTCCGGTCGGGCGGTCGGTCCCGGTCTGTCCAGACGTCCGTTGCATTTTCCTTGTCCGGAGCATAACTTGAAAACTAATGGTTGGAATTCAATATAACTACATACAATGGTCAAGCACATTGAGAGGAAGTGCAGTGCACAAGAACCATAACTCTATCTTGACTAATTACAGAGTTATTGCCCTTTGTTACTTTTCCTTGTCCGGGGCATAACTTGAAAACTAATGGTTGGAATTCAAAACAACTTCATACAATTGTCAAACACAATAAGGGGAAGTGCAGTGCACAAGAACCATAACTCTATCTAAAGTAATTACAGAGTTATTGCCCTTTGTTGCTTTTCCATTGCTTTTTTTTTTGTCCGTTGCATTTTCCTTGTCCGGAGCATAACTTGAAGACTAATGGTTGGAATTCAATATAACTACATACAATGGTCAAGCACATTGAGAGGAAGTGCAGTGCGTTAGAAACATAACTCTATCTTGACTAATTACAGAGTTATTGCCCTTTGTTACTTTTCCTTGTCCGTGGCATAACTTGAAAACTACTGGTTGGAATTCAAAACAACTTCATACAATTGTCAAACACAATAAGGGGAAGTGCAGTGCACAAGAACCATAACTCTGTCTAAAGTAATTACAGAGTTATTGCCCTTTGTTGCTTTTCAATTGCCTTCTTTTTTTTGTCCGGAGCATAACTTGAAGACTAATGGTTGGAATTCAATATAACTACATACAATGGTCAGGCACATTGAGAGGAAGTGCAGTGCATAAGAACCATAACTCTATCTAAAGTAATTACAGAGTTATTGCCCTTTATTACTTTTCCATTGCTTTCTTTTGTCCGGACCATAACT